TGAAGAAATGAAAGCAGTAATAAGTGGAAACGATCTAGGAGATTAGCATAACATTTTTTATTTTCCAATGTGTTTTTTGTTTGTTAGGATATGAAGCAACAAAGTGTTAGATTGTCTAGACGAAGTTAGTTCCAAGATTCACATACCCGCCCACCTGCTCTCCTATTCACTGCTAACTCACAGCTGAATGCGATAAATGCTAAGTTTAAGAATATTTGTTTTGAATTTATTTCCGGAACATGTCACAATATATGTGTTTATTGCACCTTACAGGACGCGATCCGTACACTACTGATTGGCGATGATGGGGACGAGGAAGAGGGGGTAAATCATTCACGGCAGTTGAACACCTTCGGCATCTTGTCTCGTTCCCGTCGTGTGGGAGAAGACAGCGGTGACACAGAGTTTCGAAACCGACCCACCTCACACAACGGCACTCCACCGCTTGCCCAGGCCGTAGTTGCAGCGTTAAAACAGAATCAACATCATTTATTTCGCTCCATCGCCACCACAACTACAACCACGACCACATCCACCGCATCGTCATCCCGTTTCTCCCCCGCCTATCTATCGGACGAGAATGAAGCCGCCGATATTATCCGCGGGGCTGACGTCCGTCGACGCGTCGAGGACGCCGCTCAAGAGGCAGACAGTGACACGGACAGTGTGTCATACGGAGATGATGATGAAGACGATGATGCGAACCGGGTTTCTCGGGCAACTTTCTCGCATACTGACCAAGCTGCTGTGGAATTAGATGGTGAGAGTGGCTACGGAGCGTCGTGTTCATCCTCTTCAGTTCGACTCCGTTTCAGTTCAAGACGGGACAAACGGCGTCAGAAACGTCGTGTACAACGCCGGTCAAGTGTGGGAACGAGCACCGCTGAGACACATTCATCTCCAGGAGAGGATGAACAAGAAGACCGGGAGCACTCAGAAAGTTCCAGTCGTAACCGCAGTGCCCTAGGAGACTCGGCTAATGGACGACACACACCTAATAGCAGTCCTGTTTGTGCAACGATTGGCGAATTCACTGATTTGAGTTCATCGGCGCGGCGACTGATCCCGGCCCGTAATGCATCCAACCGACACAAACGCAATCGGGTTCGCATTTTAGATGACGAACAACAGCAAGACCAGACAGGTAAAATTACTGCGGCTCATGCAGACCAGTCGGCCAGTCGGAATCGGCGTCGTGCTCACCTAGTCGGATTGCATTCGGCTGGTGAAGTAGCACAACCTGGTGATGAAAATGCTGATGACGACGACTCGGAATCACCGGGATTGGCTCATACACATAGCTCTTTGCCGTCCTATCCATGCTCCATACATCGGTACTCCATTGACACCGGGTCCGCACCATCCATTCCCACAAGTGACACGGAAGCGAATCGCCCGGAGTCAGATGCTTTCGATGCGGTGGTTGAATCCTCACCAGTTACCAATTTGGCTGGCCTTTCACCCGGCGCGGCAATGCCACCACCACCAAATGCTGTGCCTTCCGCCTCGATTCTGGTCATGCCTACCAATTCACAGACTCACCACAACACTTCTCTCTCTCCATTCACTTCAATGTCGTCCGCCACTCGAGGTGCATGGCATTCAGACATGTCATCTGGTGTACCACTAGCTCACGCTACGGCCTATCAGCTAGATACCCAAACAGACGCATTTCACACTGGTGTGACAAACTATGCTCAAACTCATTCAGTTCAGCCTTGTCTGTGTTCCACTCATAATCATGAAGCTCATTCTGGTTGGTGGGAATCGTCCAATTGTTCATGGTATGGTCCTGGAGAGGCGTCTTCCGCCTTCCACCCCGCTCCTCTATGTTTGAAGTCCCGTCAGTCCTCAACCCACCCATCGACTCTTCCATTCGGTTGGACTCAACCGTCCTGTTCCGGTGCTCATTCCGTCTCACAGTCTTGTTCCTGTCGCCCATCAACTAGTTTTTCCATTGCGCTTGGAGACGAAATCACTTCCTCACCGCCACCACCATCACAGCAGCAGGAAAAACGGTTTGACTCGAACCCGTCAGAACTG